TTCAGGTTTTGTATATACTCATAATTGTCCAAATTTATCTCCCTTTTTGCCCCTTCAGTTAAGGTTGATGGGTAGGCTGGTGGAAGGGGGAGCCTAACAGGAAGAACGCGTCCACGTGTGCTCGCGCGCGCATGTGTCTGGTTCGGCTTAGTGTGTGCTTGCCCATGTGTCTGGTTCGGCTTAGTGTGTGCTTGCCCATGTGTGTGCACATGCATGTAGGAAGTGGTAGGGCATTTGGTTTAGAAGGAACCCATTTTTTTGTATATCTATTCTGTTTTAATGAACCTATGATTGTGGGCATTCTAATTCATTATTCTTTTCTTATCTTAGAAACTTTTTTGGTCTTATACTATGCTACGTTTGTTGGTGAAATATCAGTTGAATTACTAATGATGTTTATCAGAACAAGTGGACTTGTTTTCATCGGCAAAGAAAAGTTTGTCACTGGGGTTGGGGCATTTTAGAACTAGGAGGAAACATTTGGACATTAACTTGACAAAGGAGACAAATACTGAATGGAAGAATAGGATCCATGTTGGCCAAAAATTTCGGACAAAGGCTTTGTTGTTGTTCTTGTTGGGGAAACATTTACATATATGACATATCTTGCACCTGTAGGCCATTTCAGAGCACCTCTCTACTGAGGAACTCTTTTGGTATGTGCCTTGCTAAAATAAACCTGTCGTAGAAGTCAATTTACTGTATTGGAAAAGAGAAATAAGTCAGTGATGGTGTGGATTTCAGCAATTTTTATAAATTTGTATATATAGTTTCCTATATATGATGGGTTTATATGTCAGAAGGTCTGCGTGTTATGAAATGCTGTATTTCATAATTGTCAAATGGTCCAAAATTTTTGATTATTTTGACTTCATCTTGCTGAGTTGTTCATGAGTAGGGGCTACTTTGGTGATTTCACATGTGTTTCATGTTACCTCTGGTAAGAGGAGTCATGAGGTAGCTTTCAGTAGTCAGTTTACTAAAGGTCCTAGTCATTATGGAGACATCACCAGATATCAGATTGTATAATTTATGAGTCCTTTGAAGCCTTACATGCTATTTAGTTTTGAAATTCTTAGGAAACAATCTTCATGTAGAGTTGAATGAATGGATAGTTTATTGATTTTCAGTGAAGTATCATAGAAATCTATTGGTATTTTTGCATACCTTATCTTCAGTATTTTCCTGTAAAATCTACACTTTGTCAGTGAATATATACAGTAGTAATTTACTGAAGATCTTGATATGACTTATGTTTGTTTTGTTTTCCTTTTTGTTCTTTTCTTTTCTCTTTGAGAGCATTTATTATTTCCCAATTTTTTAATCTAGAGAGATGTATTATTTCTCTAATATCTTCATTTGGTACTCAAACTAAATTTTTTCCCCTTGTTATAGGGAAATGACTGTGAATATCGCCATAATGAGGGTGCTAGGCTTAATCCCAGAGATTGCTACTATTGGTTGAACAGCAACTGCTTGAATCCGAAGTGTGCATTTCGGCACCCAGTGAGTTGCTCTTCTCTTAGTTCATGCATACATGCGACATAAATTGATATGGTTGTGCACAATTTTCAACCTAAAATTGCTCAATTGCACGCATATTTACTGCACAATGTATGCTATGTTTGCTTGTCCCCCTCTCCCATCTCCCCCTGCCCTCCCTGCACAATGTATGCTATGTTTGCTTGCCCCCATCTCCCCTTGCCCTCTGGTATATGATATATTTTTTGTTTGGTCTGGAAATGGAATATGCTTATGCCTGTGCATTTTCAAAAGTGTGAATTGCAGCATCCAGTAGCACACGCAGTAGCATA